TCTTATTTTTCTTGAGCATATTTAGGTACGGAGTATTGCAGATATTTTCATATTTTATTTGTTTATATTTTATTCTCTTTTACGCACTTTCAACAACAATTATTAAACACCGTCAAATTGTACCTTTAGTGTTTAAAATAATAAATCGTTTTAAACAGCTTAAGAAAAAGAGATCTAAAAAGTATCTACTTTAATTTAATTTTATCCTATTGAAAAATTTGTGTGCTCTTACCGTGACAAAAATAGTTTATCCTTTTAAGTCTAGTTCACGTATATATATATATGATAGGGGTGGATGGTTTTATTCATCTTTGGCCATTTGAATAATCTTAATAACAACAATGAACCGTCTATGTGGTGTTACCCATTTTATGTTTGGTTTACCAAAAGGAAGAAAAAATATACATCATACATATATATAAAATATATAAGAATATAGATGGAATGCAATTAATGTGCCAGACTCTTTAGCACATTGTTAAAGAATAGAAATACAGTCCAAAATGGTTGGGATATGATGTTAAGTATGCTATATCCACTTTCTGTACAGCATAGTGTCATTTACATTGTGAATCAGGTAAAGTCTGTTTTTGATTTTGTTTTTCATTAATAGCCAAACATTCTCGATAGGGCTCAAATCGGGAGACTGTGGAGGCCAACTTATCTGTTGAATTCTGTTCTGATGTTTCCAATTTTCAGATTCATTGGATCGATGACATGGGGAATTATCATCTTGGAAGTCCCATGTGCTTTTACTAAAATGTTTAACAACAACCTGCCAAATATTGTCATCAAGTGTTTGGATATATTTCTTTGAGTTCATATTTCTATTTATGAATGCTAAACTTCCTACCCAATAGTAGGTGATACATCTCCATACCATTATTTTAATAGTAGCAGACGAACATTGGTGCAAAGTGGCCCAAACATTCAGGTCTCCTTTTTTCAGATGACTTCCTCCATACTTTAAATTTTCCGTCAGGTTTAATAATAACCATCATTTCATAGGTAAACATCACTTTTTTCCACTGATTACTGACATTCCAATGTAACTTCCCTCTGCACAAAGCTATGCGTTTCGTTTTGTTTACGTTCTGAATTCCTATAGACTTCCGAGAAGATCGCCTCGTATAGCCCATGGAGTGAAGGGCCCTTTGTACTGTGCGACAAGAAACTTTAACCGCTGTACTGTTGTAGAATTATGCCGTTATATCCTTTAAAGTTGTCCTACGAGAATTTTTTAACAAGTCGAGAAAGTGTTCGTTCTTCTCTGGCATAAACATATCGGGATCTTCCCTTTCGTGGGTAATTTCCTGTCTCCACATTCTCTCCATCGCTTTAAACATTTCGAAATTGTATACGTGTTTATGTTTAAAAATTCTGAAATTTCTGATGCCTTGTGTCCACTTCCTATATATTGTACGATCACATTTTTTGTGTCGTCTGATATTTCATTGCCGTGTTTTGCCATTTTGTAAACAAGGAAGGAGAGTAATAACAAAACCAAATTCGCTATTGAAAATTAAAACCCAGTAAGCGTTATTTCCCTTTGATCATGATAAAATCGGTAAGATATCATTAATCTTTCTACAACATTACTTCGAAGTTTTGAAGCGGGGCTTGTAATTTCGCGCCATTAAAAACGTTAACTCATTTAAGCACTACGCTGTATATACATGATATATTTTTCTCATTGGATTTTGCAATAGCGATAATTATATGACCGCGTAGTTTGGGTCCAATAATATGACGTTTAACGGGTAAGACGGAATGTTGGCAGGGAAATGAGTGGCGCTGTGGTCCGGAAGTAGTAAAGCCATATTCCTAGGGCTCTTCCCAAAAACAAATATCAGAGTATAAAGAAACGACGTATATGGTTTCTGAATTTATTAACAAGTTTCAATGAAGAACATTAATAACATGGAACAATAATTTTCAAAACAGTAACCAATCGGATATGACCATTGCCTCTAAACTGTCCAGTAGACATGGTAAGAATATGAAAGGGAACGAATGGGGCTCGGCCGGTAGTACACACGGTGTCCGAACTGTCCAGTAAAATGTGACAACGGAATTTTAGGGGACTTGAACAATGAGTTTAAAATGACAGGTGTTGACAATGTTTGTTTGTTTAACGTCCCTCTCGAGAATTTTTCACTCACATGGAGACACCACCACTTGCCGGTGGAGGGCTACAAATTTTTACCTATACTCGGCACTTAGGGCCATTGAGCAGTGAGGGATCTTTATCATGCCAGCACCTACTGCGACACGGTACCTCGGTTTATACGGTCTCATCCGAAGGACCGGTCTCCACGTCCCACACTGGGACTTGAACCCGCGACGTAAGGATCAACTCCTTACTCCGCGACTATAGAGCAGACGCTCTAACCAGTGCACCACGTGGGCGACGGTGTTGACAATGAGTAAGTGTTAGAGATACAGATTATCAAATGCTTTAATGGCATGGACATAAAGAACACCGATACATGTAATTAAATAAGTACATTATAATTGTATAAGCGATCAAAAAGGCCCTTGGGAATTAACACTCTGCCCCTTATTTGTCCGACAAATGTAAATCAGCAAATCAATGAGGAATGAGAAAGATCTGTAAAATGCTAATTTAAAAACCAAATAATTTAAGAATATTTAATTTCAAATTAAAACCAAAAAATAAAATATAACATTTAAAGTCCAAAATGAATTCAGAGTAAATCAGTCATAGGCAAAATGTACGTGTGTTATACAAATGGAGAAGAAATATGAAGAAAGTTGGAAAGTTATGATGTTTTAAGTTTAAAAAGATGTGCACAAAAGCCAGTTAACAAAAAAGGGGCAGAAGTAGAAATGTATTTTTTTTTTAACTCAACATATGATAAAACAAGTATAAACAATTTTGACTAACAAGATGAACGTAATTTAGGAAAATACAGGATAATACCGTAGAGATATAATGGCCATTATTACTTCAAAAGGAATGGATAAATATCAGTAACTTGTTATTTTATGCATGGTAGATGTCTTTTAGAGCCTTTCAATTGTAATTAATTAATTTTTTGAATAGCTTAGGAACAGAAAAACGAAGCTACAAGTAGATCTTTATTTTAGAAAGTTTATTATCATTGTCTTTTGACCAAAGGAATCGATCATAGTGACAATCCTGCCTTCAAAAATCTTTGATTCTATTTTTTTTCTGCCCCTTGATGTTTTGAAGCATTCACATATAGATATCATTAATTTTTATTTGACCATCTTTCAATCCTCATATGCATCAAATCACTTTCAATTCGTAACAAAGCGTCAAAGATTAAAAAAATATATATATAATTAATCTGCTGTCAGTGAAATAATGCCTTTAAATCGATTTCATTGATCCAGTACAGGCTTATACTTAAAATAGTCTGATTTTATATAGATAAAGAACAAGATGATTAGGATTTGAAATATTTTCCTGTACGTCAAATGTTTACTACGTACATGTACCACCATTTACCTTTTAGAATGAAAAAAAAATAGGCAGAACATGTTTATGTTGATATTTCTTACCTACATTTTTGGTAAAGTTGAGTGCATAGAGCAAACATTTTAGATTTGTTTTGTTTGTTTGTTTGTGTGTTGTTTAACGTCCCTCTCAAGAATTTTTTCACCCATATGGAGTGTTCGTATTCCCGCAATAGAGGAGGGAAGGATGATATTGATTTATCCATAAATGATCTGGTCCACGCTTTAAAACAATGTTGGTTCTCTTTGTTCAAATATTTGATGCTCTTTCAAAGCCCTCCTGAGATATTTGTGCAGCAGCAAATAAATAAGAGGTTGTTTTGATGTTTCGAAGTTATTCATAGTTTGTAACTTCCCAAAGTCTTGTCAGTGTTGCTTTGCAAAAGACTGGAATGGTTGCGGTGTCTGTTTGAGTGATGGATCAGTCATTTTTTGTTTGTTTGTTTGTTGTTTAACGTACCTCTCGAGAAATTTTCACTCATACGGAGACGCCACCACTTGCCGGTGGAGAGCTGCAAATTTTTACCCATACTCAGCACTTAGAGCCATTGAGCATTGAGTGATCTTTTTTGTGCCAGCATCTACTGCGGGACGGGACCTCGGTTTATACGGTTTCATCCGGAAGACCGGTCTCCACGTCCCACAGTGGGATTCGAGCTCCTTACTCCGCGACTCTACAGCAAACATTCTACCCACTGCGCCACGCGGACGACCTTAATTCATTGTGAGGAAAAGGTATTATTTAGTGCTACAATGTCAAACGTTTTGATATTATTTCGTGATTTTAAATATTCCTAAACTATTCGGGAGTGAGAATTAATATTTGACTTACACCACTTCTTAAAAATGTAGCATAGTCGTGATAAGTCCCTGAATCAAAGCCATTGGGTCTTGTAGGGGGAAAAATCAAAGCTGGATGACCTTTATCGGACCCATAGTGCATAATTTGACGACTAGTTTAATGAAAAAAGGAAGGATAAATGATAAACGTAGTTTGCTTTTCAATTTTCTATAAAAATATTCTATCAGGAATAATTCAGCTAGTTACTTTTTTTAGTTTTCTATCACGAGGTCTGTTTACTCAAAAATAAAATCTAAAAGAGAAAGAGAGTTCTCCATAGTTCACTACAGAAATTCCCTACTCAAGGTTACTAATTATATTTCTATTTTTCAGAAATATTTTTCTTCAATTTTTTCCCTTGCGAAAGTCAGCTTTAACAGATAACAGAAACATACGCATAAATCGCACCTTTTTATTAACCGACTGAGTGAAATATTGACCATATATGAAATGAAATGATTTATTTTATTTAATAAAAAATAAATTTATACCAACTCAAAGTATTGCCTCAATATTCTGAAGAAATACGTTCATTTTAAATAGTTCGATAAAAGTAATATGAAAAAATATTAGAAAATCCTTACCCCCGGTAAATGTTTGTAAAATTTATCCCTGATAAAATTAGAAAAGTGGAATGTAACCATAAGCATTGCACCTAGAAAACATGGGATTTTTCACATATAAATGAATTAAGAAAGGAACATGACCTATCGTTCCATTTGCCGCTTCTTAATAGATCAATACAATCTCTCTTTACAGCTAATTCGGGATAACCGACGCTCGGTTCGTTTAGATGCCAATAAGTAAAGTTCATGGTCACGTTTGACTGGTTCCAACCGTATTGGCCCTCAATGTTAAGATCATTTCCGCCCGTCCAGGCGCTACAGTCGGAAAATACGTTCAAGGAACAGGTGCCTAAAATGATTAATCAGACTTTGTAGATCAATTTTATTTCGGCAGGCCACAAAATAGGTATTCCAGCGAGGCATAGAAAAGAACGAATCAAATAGCATGAATATTTCAATACTTTGACTTTTACATATACAAGTATCCTCACTTATTTTGAAAATTCATTCAACACATGAACTTCAACGCTTCATGCGGGATATTTATGATGAAGCGCGTTTCATGTAATATGCCGGCGTGAAGGGTCGTAGTGCATGTTCTCGTGTATCTTCAAAATATTTAAGCCCATGTCGTAAATAAAGCACGAAAAATATGTGTGCATTGGTAGTTTTAAAATTCTGTGTGGATTATATATACATTGCATGTTTAAAAAATATAGTATAGGCATTACAAATTCAATTTGAAGAAATTGGGACATTGTTATATTTGTAAAAAAATCATGCCCCTTTTAAAATTGATTGTCTCTTCTTTGCCCTTATCGTCAAGTTGTTGCTGTGCCATGAGGCATTGCTTAGTATGATTTATACTGCATTACTGTAAACTATTTTCTATACTAATAAAGACATACGCTTCTTTCAGAGGCTTACCCTTCCTAAGGAATGTCACAGCAAGCCACTCTGATTCTTCTTCGCTGTCAATCACAACCAAGTGAGAACACCTTGACACACACTCCGTCTAATGGTCAAAAATAAAAAATAATTTCATAGGATATCCAAACTCTAGTGAAAGTAGAGTTTTGTTATACCTTCTTTTGCCATTTTAGGTTCAAATTAATTTGATACGTAGTAAGATAAGAGTATAGACTCGAGGAGAAGAAGAGCATTGCCTTGTTTTATAGGAAGAATCAGGGCGGGGGGGGGGGGGGTCCCGAGCCAAATTTTCGGCTATGCAAGTACGTATATCCGAAATATCAAAATAGCATGTATTTACCTAGGCATTTAAATGTGAAGAGTACTTGTAGTCTAGTCCTGATGTTTAAAAAGAAGGCTAGAAATAAGTTTTAACGGCAAATAATTATTATTTGATCCAGCATAGTTTATAAACCTATTTCGAGCTGAATCCGAAAAAAATACGCTGACTGTAACATATATATGTATTAAAGTACAAGTTAATGAAATAAGAATAATTTTATGTACGATCTATTGATGTATGTTGGTCTCGTTCTGGAATAAATTAAGAAAGCACTCAACACGTGGTTCTGCATTTTAATGACTCTTATACCCACAATCTGATTATGAAACATGGTGTCAGAAGTGTGTAAAATGCTTGATTGACTGACCATTCTACGAAAGCGAACGGTAAGACAATCTGAGACAATTTCCATTGTGCATACATACATTGTTTGTGAGTCGCTTCGAGGAAATTCGAACTGTTCACAATGCCTAGCGAAGACGAGGGACAAAACAATGTTATTTTGAACTCTAACCCCATTATACTGAACATTCCTTTCCCCAGAGCACTGGATATGAAGGGAGATTTGGCTAATAATTGGAAACACTTTAAGACAGTGTGGAAAAATTATGAAGTAGCCACTGGACTACACGAGAAGGATGATAAGTTGCGGTGCGCGACATTCCTAACGTGTATGGGGTCAGATGCACTCCGTGTGTTTGATGGGTTAAAATTCCAAAATGCTGAGGATAAGGAGAAAATTGATGAAGTAATAAAAGCAATGGAAGAGTTTTGTGTAGGACAGACCAATGAAATATTTGAACGTTACACTTTTAATAAGCGAGACCAAGAACCAAATGAGACCATTGATGCGTACATAGCCGTGTTGAGAACTCTAGCCAAAACATGCAAGTATGACGCGCTTGAGGATGAAATGATTAGAGACCGGATTGTCCTAGGTGTTCGAGATAACAGCACACGCAAGAAACTCTTACAGGAAAAGAAGTTGGACTTGCAGAGATGCATAGATATTTGCAGAGTAAATGAGAAAACAGCTTCACAGTTAAGAAACATTGAAGATGTGCAGTATGTGAAAAGTAAGCCACATAAAGGTAAACTTCCAAGTAACAAGGAAAAGGGACATAAAGTTCAAGGAGCATCAGGGAGTAAAGTGAAATACGAGACTGATCAATTTCCGCTATGCAAGTATTGTGGAAATAAACATGCACCAAGGAAGGAGAAATGTCCAGCTTATGGAGCTATGTGCAAGAACTGTGGAAAATCTAACCATTTTGCCAAAATGTGTAAAGCCACAAAGGTCAGGAGTCGACAAAGGCATGTTCATGAAGTACACACAAGCCAAGGCTTTGACTCAGATGACTCATCAGATGAAGAATTTGTTTTGACAGTAGGGCACATGAATGAAAATAACAGCGGTGATGAACATAAATAAAAAACTTGTTGAATTCCAACTTGACAATGGATCAACTGTTAATATCCTACCAAATCACATTTACACCAAACTTTGTGATGACCCAACAGGAGACAAGTTGAGAAAATCAAATGTGACACTTATTATGTTCAACAAAAGTGAAACAAAGACTCTTGGAAAAGTGCGTTTGAGTATAAGAAATCCGAGAAATCAGAAAAAGTACAACTTAGAGTTTGAGATTGTTGAGGGCAAACAGCTTCATGCAATTCTAGGGATCAAAGCTATCCAAGCAATGGACCTCATCACAGTAAACCATAAGGAGTTCCTTTCCAAACATGAGGTACAGGAAGAAGTAGTAACAGAAATTGTAGACATTCAAAAGGAGATGGAGACCAAATTCAAATCGGTGTTTGAAGGACAAGGCAAACTGGATGGAAAATTAACATTGGAAGTAGACCAAAATGTCAAACCGGTAAAAATGCCGGCAAGAAAGGTACCACTCGCTATCAAAGACAAACTGAAACAAGAACTAGATAGACTAGAACAGTTACAGATCATCAAGTCAGTTAATACTCCTACTGACTGGATCTCAAGTCTTGTCGTTGCACCCAAATCGAATGGAAGGATTCGGCTATGCATTGATCCCAGACCATTGAATCAAGCTCTGAAAAGAAACCATTACCCTACTCCACTAATTGAGGACATGCTTCCAGATTTAGGCAAGGCACGTATCTTTTCTGTAGTTGACGCACGAGATGGATTCTGGCATGTAGTTATGGATGAGCAGAGCAGCTATCTTACCACATTCTCAACGCCGTGGGGAAGATACAGATGGTTGAGAATGCCATTCGGGATATCGCCTGCTCCCGAAGAGTTCCAGAGACGCATGGAAGAAGCGTTAGAAGGACTTGATGGCATCAAACCTATTCATGATGACATATTGATCTATGGATGTGGAGACAATGACAAGGAAGCTCATGAAGACCATGATCGCAAGTTGAAAGCCTTGCTCCAGAGATGTTTAGAGAGAAACATTAAACTGAACAAGGAGAAGATGAAACTGAAAGTAGACTCAGTCACTTACTTAGGATTTGTCATTTCTAAAAATGGCCTGTGTATAGATCCCCAGAAAGTGAAAGCAATACAAGAGATGCCTACTCCTCAGGACAGACAGGGAGTACAGAGACTTCTAGGGATGACAAACTTTGTTCAACGGTTTGCGCCACAGCTTTCTGAAATTACGGCACCTTTATGAAGTCTTCTTAAATCTGACACACATTTCAGATGGGATGAAGATGTCCATGGTAAAGCATTCAAGGACGTGAAAACTGTTTTGTCTAATACTCCAGTGTTGAGATTCTTTGATGAGCATAAGGAGCTAGTTTTGCAGTGTGATGCATCTGAATCGGGCCTTGTAGCTTGCCTACTTCAAGAGGGACACCCAATAATGTATGCATCAAGATCACTAACAGAGACTGAATGCAATTATGCTCAGATTGAAAAGGAGCTACTAGCAGTTGTCTTTGGAATGGAAAGATTTGAGAATTATACTTATGGTAGACACATTGTTGTAGAGTCGGATCATAAGCCACTTGAGATTATACACAAGAAGAATTTACACAATGCACCAAAGAGACTACAAGGGATGTTGTTGAGACTTCAAAAATTTGACTATGAAGTACTCTACAAAAGAGGTACTGAAATGTACTTTGCAGACACTTTATCCAGAGCATATCTTAAAGCTCAACCAGAGGACCTAGAAGAAAAGGACCCTGTGGAAGTACACAATGTAGATTATAAGGAGTATCTACCAGTGTCCGAGCAACGTATTGTGGAAATCAGGAAGGCAACAGAAAGAGATGAAACAATGGATAGGCTAAAAGGAGTGATTAAGACTGGATGGCCTGAGACGAGGGCAGAAGTTCACACAGACATTCAGACATATTTTCCATTTCGAGAGGAACTTGTAGTTCAAAATGGACTCATTTATAAGGGAGAACGGATTGTAGTTCCCACAGAAATACGCAGTCACCTTCTTGAAAGGATCCACAACTCTCACATAGGGATTCAAGGATGCCTACGAAGAGCTAAAGAGAGCCTGTACTGGCCAAATATGGCTAAAGACATAGAACTGTTTATAAGTAAATGTGAAGCTTGCAACATGTATGCAAATGATCAAGTGAAGGAACCAATGATTAGTCACGGAATTCCAAATCGACATTGGCAAGTCATTGCATGTGACTTATTTGAGTGCCAGAGCAAAGACTACTTGATTACAGTAGACTACTACTCAGACTACTTCGAGGTTGACCGCCTTCACAGTAAAACTGGTAGTACCATAATCAGCAAATTGAAAGCTCACCTTGCAAGACATGGGATACCCGACACTCTAGTTTCGGACAATGGACCACCATTCAATAGTCAGGAATTTGCTGAATTCTCTAGAAAATATGAATTCAACCATGTAACTTCTTCACCAAATTATGCGCAATCCAACGGTAAAGCTGAGAATGCTGTGAAGATTATAAAACGCCTGATAAACAAGAGTGTTGCTGATCAGAAAGATCCATACCTAGCATTATTAGACCTTAGAAACACACCCAGCCAGGATATAGGATATTCTACTGTACAGAGGATCTTCGGGAGGAGAACAAAGACTTTATTACCTGTCTCAGAAAACATGCTCAAACCCCGGTATGCTGACAAAGTCAAAGAACAACTTTACTATAGAAAAGGAAGAGAAACACATTATTACAACAAAGGAGCCAAAGAACTGCCACCATTACACGAAGGAGATGTAGTTCGCGTACGACCTAAAGGAAATGAGAAGTCTTGGAAGAAAGCTATTGTTCAAGGACAAGTAGACATACGTTCGTACAATATCAGGACAGAAGATGGACGAGAATACCGCCGAAACAGACGACATTTGAGGACAAGCAAAGAAACTTTTGCTAGAGAGTTGTCTCCTATGCCAAAATTAGAGATAAACTCAGATCCTTCTCCAAACAATGGTTCGTCAAACACGGTATCTGAGAAACCAAGAACAACTAACCATGATCCTTTACCGAAGTCTCCTGTGAAACCAATTCGACCTGTTAATGGACCAAATATAACTTTTGACAAACCCAAGCTAATTCAAGCTGATCCATCTGTTGTTATTACCAGGAGTGGTAGAGTTGTGAAAACACCAAAGCGCCTCCAAGAATGAAGTGTTTGATTCTGTTAGGTCACACAGATTGTGTCTAAGGGCATAATAATCCCTTGTCTGTGTGTTACTAGGTGAAGCCTGGTTCATGTATATATGTTTACTTAGTTTTAGGTTGTGATCTATGTTCAATTTCTAGTCATTTTA